GTCATAATACATAATTTCTACTGAACTCCCCTGGTCGATCAAGATTCTCTTGATGTCAAAGTCTTTGACGCGAAGAGTGACTACTAAAGCATCATTGTGCGGCATCTGAACTCTTTCTAAGTCCTTGGTCGAGAATAAAAGGATGTCCCTCTCTTCGGTCTTTCCCCTCTTCACAGCAGGCTGAACAGAGAACACTTCCCTCATGTGCTCAGCCTTCTTGATCATCCCTCTCAGCTCGCAGACCCTGGCCGGTTCAATAATACCATGGATAACATTGATTACACCTTGCGGGGCCGCATCCAGGGCGGCTAGGCTGTTTGGCGCGGCTTGCCCTGATGGTGCGGCCTTCATTCCTCCATCTATGTATTGGTCAAGATGTTCAGCCGTCACCAACTCCTCCAAGTGTTGTTTGAGCGGCAAGCAGTCCTCCGTTCGGTGGCCCCGTTCTTCATGGAAGGTGCAGCGATATTTCGAATTGAAACCCCGCTGCGCACTCCCCAACTTGGCCGGCCAACGGACGAAGGGTTCACCTCGAATCTCGCTCAAAACGTGGTAGATGGGGATTTTAAAGACCGTGGTGATTCCAGTTCGTGCCTTCCATTTTCTTTTGGCATCCTCCGCTGCATCACGGGGAGTGTCAGCCCGGTCGTTTTGGCGGCCCTTGTTTCTGTCATCACGGTTTGAACCATGGCGCTGATCTTTTGACCGGTTGTTTGGGCGGTTATCCTCCTGCCCAACCGAGTGAACTTTCCCCGCCACCCTTCTGTCTGCCGCGATCGGATTAGCCTTCTCGGTCACGGAGGCGGCATCATCCTCCACACGAATGTGCTCATTGATCTGCTGCATCAACGACTCCATGGTCGTGGGTTGATGCATCGTGAGTGAATCTCGCAGCCTATGTCCGATTGGGAGACCCCGTTTGTATTGAGTGATCACCAGATTGGTGGGGCAGTTGAGGATCTCATTGTAAGTTTCCCAGTATTTCGCATTATATGCCTTCAACGAACATCCAGACTCCATCTTGACGCCCAGGAGGTGGTCGACCTCCTTCGGCGTTCGTGTGTTGGTTTTGAATCTGGTGACGAAGGCTTCCGCTAGTTGCTGCCACCCCTCAATACTCCTCTCCGGGAGCCTTTCGAACCACTTCAAACCCAGCTCTCCCAAGCTTGTTGGGAATATGAGGCACATTAAGGCGTCGTTGCGCCAGTGGCCAGCCATTACTTGCCGGTAATGGCTCACATGCATGTACGGATCCGTCTTGCCATCGTACAAAGTGAACTTTGGCTGGTGGAATCTGGCGGGGAGTGGTGTACTTTCAATATCTGGAGACAGCAGCGTGGCTGTAAGTCGCACCAGCTCTTTGTCCACCAGCGCAGAGGCTATCACTTTGGGGCCTGGCATCGCCACTTCCTCACTACAATGAACTGGAGCGCTCAATCTCTGCAATGCCGGCACTCTCCGAGCCTCTCGATGGCGCGCCCTCTCCTTCAATACATCCCTCAAGTCCCTGGAACGTGTGGAGAAAGAGGATCCCGACGTCGGCGTCGGGCGTGAGGGGCAGTAAGTGCTGTCGCGAGAGAGGGACCTGCCCCCTCTTTGGTCAGAATCTCCAACCCCATAGTTCCTGGTGATGGAGAGAGAGTGAGTCTTCCCCTGGCGGCGACTGCTACAACGAGGGGACGGGGTGCGCTCACTAAGGTTGCCCTCTCCAGCAACACCCTTCCCTTTAATCTGGCGTTTCAGCAGCTCCATCTCCGCCGCCATCTTGCGAATGAGGGCATCTTCTGATTCTTCCCTTTTTTGCCTTCCCCTTAGTTTTCCTCGTTTTATTTTCAGCTCGTTTGTTTCCTGGGCATTCTTTTGCTTGTTCACTGACTTCTTCTCCATTTTCGCTGTCTTCTTTTTCTTCTTCAGCATTGGCTTTATCATGTTCTGTTTTCTTCTTATGTAGGAACTTGATGAGACCTCCAAGGGCTATGCCTGCTTCATCACTTTTCATGAGCTCTTCTGCAATCTCTGCAGGGGTTACCTCCACCTCTGTCACGAGTTTCTCGATTTCAGAAAACATGGAGTGATTGTTTATGCTAAGGTAGTTAGAAGCAAGAATCTTAAACCCACAAGGAGTGCAATAAGACATGTGGATGTGCATGTCCATGCGACCGGGTCTCAGCAATGCAGGGTCTAGTCTATCTTTGTGATTGGTTGTAAATATGATTATCTTCTCATCACCACAACTTGACCAAAGCCCATCAATAAAATTAAGTAGCCCAGATAGTGTCACCTGTCAAGAAGAAAGTGAAACATTTATAAGTTATAAAAATAAGAAGTTTTAAGTTTGGGCAGAGACTTGAAGTTAGGTTTATGGTAAGTCCTCCAATGGCCGGGGATCCTCTGACCACTGGAGTCACGAAAACACGGGAATTTCAAGACACAGTCATATGGCTAGGGGTGCATTGGGATTGGGGGCATGGATTTTGGGGAACTGTGCCCCCTCTTATACATCATACTAGCTAAGGCAGCCGTTGTAGCAGGTTGAAGAACTATGGGTGTTTCTTGGAGAGTAGACCTTCAGACTCACCTGACTGTCACCATTGTTGTATCCTCCAGCTTGTCGGTTCTGAAAGTTGCTGCTGCAATCAATATCCTCAATCACCAAAATTGATTGATTTGCAGTAGAGATTAGATGTCTCCTAAGCTCTGCATCGCTTCTGAGGCTTGTGAGCTCCAAATCATATATATGGAACTTCAAATAGTTAGCCATGGCAGCAATCAAGCTGGACTTGCCCGTGCCTGGGGGCCCGTACAACAAGTACCCACGTTTCCAAGCCTTGCCAACTCTTCTGTAGAAGTGTCTTCTCTTCACAAATCTGTCCAAGTCATCTATCACCTCCTTCTTCAGTGTAAGATCCATTGCCAATGTGTCAAAAGTGGAGGGATGGTTTAGATTGATTGAACTCCATGCTCCATAATATGAGTTCAGCTTCACTACCTTGTTTTCTTCTTTTATTGCTTTTGACCTCTCCAATACGTATGGCAAGTAAGAGCTCAGCACCATTTCCCTGTATTTCTTGTGGAAGCTGAGCTCAATTGATCTACGTGCCACAATTTCTGTTTCAAAGCCACCTTCATAGTCAGTGCTTGTCTTTTGTGTCTCAATACATATCATTTGCCAAGTGAGTTGGACACCTTCAAATGAATCCATAATCTTTTCCCCTTGGTTGATGCTGACACAGAGGTCCTTCTCTCCTGGCGCTTTGGACACCTTAAGCCGTTCAACTGAAGGGCTGATTTTTAGGCGCAAATAGATCTCAGATGCCTCGAACATTTCATTGATGGAGAGCCCATTGGTCTCATCAATGACGAGAATCGTCTGGGATGAAAAGTTTCCCAAGAGGCCTCCCATTTTGGATAAGATTTTGTCATGGAGCTGCTGTGGTATAAGCTGCTTGGTCATGGCCTGGACTTCATTGATGACAGACCGGACCAGCATTGCCGAGGCAGTGAAAGTGGTGTATGTTGATAAAACTGATGTTGTTGAAGGCATGTTTGATTGAGAAAACATCGTTCGAACTTTTTTTTGAGGATTGTATTTGGCTTGCTTGAATCCTGTCCATTTTGGGGAGATGGATTTTATAGGAGAAATTTGCAGGACTCTGAGCTTCCATTGGAAGCTGTTCGAAATTTGGTAACAAGGCAAGTCAATTAAATTGCTGAGGAAGCTGAGGATGACAAGGTCAAGCATGCTAGCCCACCCTGAGGTTAAAAAATTAAAAAAAATCCCCAGCTGACTAAGCTGTCTTGGTTGACTTCTTGACTGACCTGTTCATGTCTTATGTGGTCTGGTATTTTTCTAGGAACCGGAGAGAAGTTTGGTTCTGTCCAGTTGGGCCTATGAATCCCACCACAGGTCCCACTCTAATGATTTAAATAGTTCATTTTGTAGATCTATATGCGTAGATCATCTATGAAAAATGAGATTGATATTATAATTATAGGTACATAATTTCAACAAATTTGCTTTTAGAAAAAATAGATGACAAGTATTGTTTTGAAGATAACCATCCATTTTTTAAGAAAAATATGATGAGTACTCTCTCAAACTGCCCATACGAGTACTCTCTCAAACTTTCTTTGTGAAGCCTGTTCATAGATGCATTGCAAAGCCTTTTCCACATTAACATTTTTCTCTGTTTATAGGGTTGCTATCACAGTTTACATGTGAGATAAAAGGTCTTGTTGTCTGAAAATCATAGCCGATAATGGTGAAGAGTACGGAAAGAAAAACCCAATTCGTGTTCTTTATCATGGTTACAGACACTATGATGCATTGAAGAGCGCTTCAAATGCTCCATATTTGAAGTTGTAATACCTGGACCTTTCTTTTATTTATGTTTGGAAAATGATATACTTGTTCACTTTTTAGACTCACTTTCTAGATGTAATGATGTGTAAGTGAGATGATTGGGTGATAATTAGAGAAGATATGAGTGAGAGTGTTGCCATAGATATCTAATTTATTGGCACATCATTAAGTTTGTAAAGTGGGTCTACTTTTTGAGCTTGAATAACAATGTTCATTTATGTTTTCACATGTAAAAGCATCTCAAAACTCAACCCATCTACACCAAGACACCACATGTTAATAAGAAGGATGATTGCTCGTGAAGAATATTTTAAGTTCGGCTTTACTTTGATATTTTGGAAAATATGTGTAGCTTTTTGTTTCTCAACAATATTGCATTGAGCTGCCACAAAAATTGCATTGTGTTCGTTGTTATAATCATCTTCTCTATTCATTTGTGATGTGTATGTTTTGCATAAGGTATTATAATGTAGATACTACTTTATGTGTTGTTTTTTTCCCCCATCATTCTCATAATTTGTCATCAAGGCATGAATTACGACTAGGTAAATTTTGAAATTTCAATGATGATACTTGATGCAAAATTTGAACCGCATCCTCATTGGAGCACCTTGAACTAAATTTCTTTGGCCATGTATTAAGTAGTAACTAAATGTTTCCTTTTCATTTTTTCTACATTTTTCTGACTCACCGTTGGCGGCTGTGGATTGAAATAGTGCTAATGAAGTCTTGCAATTTTCTGCAGAATACATTACAACGATCTGTAGTCAGTCTTATAATCAGCCTCGTATTCTCTTATAGTATCAACAACTTGCACAGTAGGCTGTCAACCAGCAGGTTTAAACGATTACCCAACTTTTATATTAGACATTCATTTTGTCAGGCTGTTTACTTACTCTTCTCAACAGAGGTCTCTCTGCTTCTTCTACTATGTAATCGTTCACTTCACTAATCAAACTTATACTAATTATCAGTGCCTGCAATTATTACATAAAATATTATTTGGCTTGCATAGGCAAATACAATGCTCACATGCTCTGGAAGCCCTCATCTTCTGCTTCTTCCCTTTTTTGCCTTTCCCTAATTTTTCCTCGCTTTATTTTCAGCTACTTTGTTTCCTGCACTGTCTTTTGCTTGTTCACTGACTTCTTTTTCTATTTCGCCGACTTCTTGTTCTCCTTCAGCATTGGCTTTATCATGTTTTGTTTTCTTCACGTTTAGGAACTTGACGAGCCTTCCAAGGGCTTTGTCTGTTTCTTCACTTCTCATGAGTTCTTCTGCAATCTCTGCAGGGGTAACCTCCACCTCCGTCACGAGCTTCTCGATTTCAGTAAACATAGAGTGATTCTTTATGCCAAGGTAATTAGAAGCAAGGATCTTAAACCCAAAAGGAGTGCAGTAGGACATGTGGATGTGCATGTCCATGCGACCCGGTCTCAGCAATGCAGGGTCTAGTCTGTCTTTGTGATTGGTTGTAAATATGATTATCTTCTCATCACCACAACTTGACCAGAGTCCATCCATAAAATTTAGTAGCCCAGATAGTGTCAACTGTCCATAAGAAAGAGAAAGTAAGAAGCTAGTGTATGCGAAAAAAATAAAAATAAAAATTGGTATTTTTTAAGCTTGGGCAGAGAGACTTGAAGTTAGGTTAGTGGAAAGCCCTCATCCTCTGTTCCACCCACACCCTCCCCTCATAGTCTATGCTACTAGCTAAGACAGCCATTGTAAGTTTTGCTTGGTTCAACAAATATAGGGTGTTTCTGGGAGCAAAATGTAGTTAGTTTTGTTTTTTCTTGCATCACATTAAAGTTTTGCTTCATCCATTAAATTATTGCAGGTAATGTAATGCAATGGAGAGTAAACCTAAATACTCACTTGCTTGTCACCATCGTTGTTTCCTCCAGCTTGTCGGTTCTGAAAGTTTCTGCTGCAATCAATGTCCTCAATCACCAGAATCGATCGATTTGCAGTAGAGACTAGAAGGTTCCTAAGATCTGAATTGCACCGGAGCCTTGTGAGCTCCACATCGTAGATGTGGAACTTGAGATAGTTAGCCATGGCAGCAATCAAGCTGGACTTGCCAGTGCCTGGTGGCCCGTACAACAAGTACCCACGTTTCCATGCCTTCCCAACTCTCCTGTAGAAGTCTTTTCGCTTCACAAACCTGTCCAAGTCATCCATCACGTCCTTCTTGAGTGTTGGATCCATTGCCAATGTGTCAAAAGTGGATGGATGGTCTAGATTGACTGAACTACATGATCCCCCATATGAGTGGAGCTTCATTACCTTGTTTTCTTCTTTCATGGCTTTTGACCTCTCCAATACATATGGCAAGTAAGAGCTCAGTACTATTTCCCTGTATTTCTTGTGGAAGCTGAGCTCAAATGATCTTCGCTCAGAATGGATGAAGTCCTCGTCGTCGTCAGAGTCATAATCAGGACCTGTCTTTTGGGACTTGGTACATTTCAATTGCCAAGTGAGTTGGATATCTTGGAATGTATCCACAATCTGTTCCCCTGGCTTGATTGTGACACAGATGTGCTTCTGTCCCGGTGCTTTGAATACCCTCAACCGTTCAACCGAAGGGCTGATTTTCGCACGCAAATAGATCTCCGATGCCTCGAACATTTGATTGATTGGCTGCCCATTGTTGGACTCATCAATGTAGAGAGTCATTTGGGATGAAGAGTAGCCTATAGGGCCTCCTAGTTTGGATATGATTTTCTCTTGGAGTTGCTTTGGTATAAGCTGGCAAGTAATGGACTGGACTTCATTGAGCACAGACCTGACCAGCATTGCTGAGGCAGTGAAAGTGGTGTATGTTGATAAAACTGAGGTTGTTGAAGGCATGTTTGGTAAAGAAGAAAACATGGTTCAAACTTTGTTTTCTAGGATTGTATTTTGGTTGTTTCAATGAATGCCTGTCCTCTATGGCGAGATTGATTTTATAGAACAATTTTGCACATTATGATGATGTAAGACCTATGATGTAAGATTCAACAGGTGAGACTTGAGATCTGTGCTCCAAATAAAAAGACAGAAAAAAGGAAAGGAGGAGGAAGGTGCCGTGAGGACTTGTGCCTTTGTGGAGGAGATCTAGAAGAACCCACCTCCCTGTTTTTGGACTGGAGGGTCCGGTTTCTCTAGTTGTGGACCACTCGAAGTCTATCTTGGTGATCTAAGCCATTTAAATTATAAATCTCGTCCAGCTGTTTATTCATGTAAAAATTCAAGCTGATTGGTCATCGATAACTACATGATCAATTTATATTTGTATAAAAAAATTGACAATATTTCTGAAATCGTATTTAGCAGTCCACTTTTTATTAAAGAGAAATGCAATGTAATGAATTAGTTTTCAATATCTGATTAATTTTTTTTTTTCATGAATGATCTATACAATAGTTGTTATAATTCGCACCGAAACGGATTCAAAGTGTGCCCACAAAGGTAAAAACTGGACCCTCCAGTGCAAAAACTGAATTGGAGGCAAGATGGGTTCATTTTAAAAAAGCCGAAGCAGCCGAAAGTTGAGTTTTTATTTATATGTTTATTGGAGATTGAAATGGAATCTTATTATTATTGTATTTTATTCTTACAGGTGCCTTAAAGCATTAAGGGGCTTGAAAGTTGAAAGTAGCCTCGTGGAATCAATAACATGACAATTCCGTTCTTTCTTTATTTTTTTCATTTAAAAAAAAAAATTCCAATGGATGAGGTCCAGCTTAATTCTGAGCAAAACCTATAGATATATGTTAATTTTGAAAATCTATATAAGAGTGTTTGATATAATTTAAATTTATGACTTATAATTTCTGTTTAAATAAATTTAAAAAACTTATTATTGGAAAAATGAGGGAGAGATGCTTTTTAATTTCTATTTTTGATTATTGCAAGAAGTTACATTAAACTGGTCAAATGTCAATGAGAAGCTTTTTTTTTAAAATTTATTATCTGTCCTTATTTTATATTGTAATTTATTATGTAAATCTACTTTTGTTTTCAATTCTTTATACTAAAATTTTGGAATTATTTCCAGCTTTTGGATACCTTTCAGAATTCATGAAGGCCCTTTTTAGTTTAGTGTGAACTTTTAAAAAAATAGAGAATGTTTTTGTTTTTTTTGTTTTTTTTTTGATTGTGTGAAGGCCTTTTCTAAAGTGAGCCTTCTAAAAGAAAAATAAAACCGCATTATAATTTTTTATTATGTTCAAAGAGTTTGAGGTCTTTTTCATAATGTATATTTGAGCATAAAAAATCATTTGGAAAGAACTTTTTTCTATTTATTATCCCACATAACACTTCACTTCTAAGATGTTTCTCTCAATTCTCTTTTTTACTAAAAGTGTGCTCTAATTTTAGAACAAATAAAACTAAAAGTTGCATATAGTATGGTCATAGTCAAGGTTGCCGGCCTTGTAGGTGGAACTCTCTGCCCAAAATAAATGTTTTTTCAGGAATTGTTATGTTTTTAATGATTGTTTAAAAAAAAATAGAAAAAATGATAATTTCTTTTAGTATTTAAAAAAAAATTACTAAAATATGGTATTGTCAAAGTAACTTTTTAAAATTAATTTTAATGGAGATATTAAAATGGGAGAATTACTTGCCAATGGATTTAAAAAAAATAAATTACAAATCAGTGATAAAATTTATACACTTTAATAATTAAAATGATATATTTTTTTATGATTTTCTAATTTTTTTAACTATATCACTGTGTGTGTTAATTTCTGACCACACTGCCAACTTAGTATTCAACTGGAGAGCACTGGCGGAATAGATGGCGCCTGAATGACCTACAACAGAAAGAAGAGATTCCGGCGGTAGTTCGTCCACCGGGGGCATTCCGATGATCAAGTCAATTATCTCTCAAAGATAGAAAAAGTGCTCAATTCACTATTCAGAGCATAAAAAGCGTACCTTAGACCCATGGGGGTGCCTCTTTTTTATAGCCAACACAATCCTAGTCCCAATAAAAGCCTAGCTTCAATGGACTTAGGATAACTACTAATCTTGGACTCCTAGTTGAATTGGGATAAACTCTCTAAAAGTCTTATCTTTACCCAAACTGAAGTCCTCTCTCATTCTAGAACTCTTGTCCTTTATTCACTTATCCTGGATTCCGGTTTCTTCGCAGATAACCTCGGTCTAGCCGAGATCATCTCGGCGTCATGACCAGGACACATAGGCCATGTGTTGTCATTCAAAAATTATATCCCCACAACTGTCCCCTAGGTTCTATTACCTCGGCATCCTGAGGTGATGGAACCTATATCATTCATTCCATTTATCACGTTGGCTAATGTCACTTTATCATTAATTGCCGAAGTCATAACTTTATCGTTTTAATACGATCAAGACCTACAGTCTGCTTTCATCAATGTTTTGGAACCAACAACCAAGTTCGTTTAAGCCGAAATTGTCCCCTTAACCGAGGTTTCTACTTCATTATATTGAGAACTCCAAGAGTTTCGACACGCGTATTAGCTGTCACGCGTTGCAATTCAACCGTTTTTTCTATGCGTCCCTCCCCCACTGGACCGTGTCCGATACGCGCCATTAAGTCGCCTTGCGCCTGCGTGCGCCGTCTGACAAACACATTGTTTGAGGCACATCAATTGCGTTTTGCCACCTCTTCGCGTTTTTGACAAAACTTCTTCCCTCTCTCCTCATCTTCTCACCTCTTCATCATCACTTTTGCGAAAAACCCTCTCTCTCTTACTTTCTCGAATTCGCCATTGTCTCAAGCTAGCAAGCTTTATGATCGCTTCTAGTCTTCCCCTCCGGTGAAGCTTTCACCGCTCTGTCGTTTTGCTGTTGTCGTCTGACTTCGGCGAACTCATCGCCGGCTTTATTTTTCTTCGATGAGTTACTTATTCCTCCTTTATCAGTCTGTGTTTCTCTTCAAAAAGCTTTCATTACTCGTCGCCATTGCTATTTTATTCAAGTTCTTGATTGTGAATCACGTATCTAAGCACATTTCTTTTATGATTTCGCTATTGCCTAGTTCGTTTCTTGAATATACACTGTTCACCCATTTGTTCACTTTTGCCACTGTTCTTGGTAGTTTATCACTGTTCTTGACTCTGAATTATTGCCCTTGTTTCTGTTTTCTGTGTTTTCTCCAGATCCTTGCCTTCAATCTTTATTTGCCTACACTTAGGTTTGGGATTCATCGTAGAACTTACTGTCTTTAGGAAAAACTAAAACACACTTCATTTAGATCCTCAGAATTTCTAGCCCCATCCTTTTTCTAGGTTTTGCCGAGGTAGCTCCAACTTTTTATAAAACACACCTTTTCCGAAATCCCACATTCGCCCCAAGCCGATATCATGGGTATGTGGAGGCATAAGGTAGACACCCCAACTAAATTAGAGTATTTTAGGCAGGAGTTTTCCATTCCGGCCGACATCCATTTGAGGTTGGCTGGGGAGGACGACTCCATTATGCCCACTGTTGACTCCATGCCCTTCCCAGTCGTCACCTTTATTGAATGTGGACTTAGGCTTCCATTAAACATCCTTTTTCGAGAAGTTCTCCACTATTACAAATTAAACCTGATGCAACTTGCCATCAACTCTTATCGAGTTATAAATGGTATAATTGCCTTAGCACGCTGAGAAAAAGCTAAGGTAACCATAGCCAATATTCAACACTGCTATACCATGTGCGGCCTTAAGTTAGAAAAAAGGCTATGTCTACTACCTCAAACCGAGGTCCACTGAATACAAACTTGTTGTCAACCTCCCAAACTCCAACAAGGGAGCCGGGGACAATTACTTCATTGTCTCGGGCAACTAGGAGTTTGCTCCAGATAAAGACCTTCATCTCTACCCTCTTAGCCGAACAGTATTCATAGAGGGTAATGGTAAAAGCCAAGTGTTGCATTTACTTGTTTTTTTTTCAAGTTTTCAATACTTTGTTCTAATGTCTGTGCTCTTCTTTTTGCAGTTCTTCCACAACCACTAAAGGGCTTTCACAAGTCCTTCTTCCCCAGCAAGGACTTGAAGAAACTACTAGATCAGCCAATGCACAAGCGGAGAGCCCCTTTGCTACTTAAATTTATTCCTACTTACAAGTCGGTTCTTCCCGATGTTCCAAAGAAGAAGAAGAGTCAATCTCCTCCGTCTGCCACTACTCCTCCCACAACTTCATCATCTCAGCCAGGTCAGGAGTCAACCTCTGATCCAGCAGAGCAGCCATCTACCTCGGCTTCACAACTGATCTAACCATCTCAACGCCATCAACAACGCCGAACTGTTTTTACTGCTGAGATGGGCCGTAAGAAAGCAGTCGCTGAAAATCTCTTGGCCGACATCCCATCTAGCGTCGACACCCAACCAGCGCAGTCCCAGCCTCCACCAAAGCCAAAGCAAAAAAGATTAAAGAAGGCTCAGCTAAAGGCAACGGTGATTCAGATTGATATTGAGGACACCTTGTCAATTTCAAAATTGGCTGAGAGTGAAAAGACATCTTCGGCCGCCGAGAAGAGACCCGCCGAGGCCGAACCATCCCAATCTACTCGGTCGAAGAGGCCGAGGTCCGAGTCGGCAACAACCTCGGGGGCAATGCAATCAGATGCCCCCTGGGCACCCCCGATCACCATCGAAGACAAGCCGGTCAAAACTAGCGACAGTTCGACTGACCTCGAAGTCGGCGTCGTCCTCTCCACGGCTTTGCTCCTTCCAAATGATCTTAACCGGAACGAAGAGATGAGCGAGTATGAAAACTTTGCTCTGATGCTCCAGCATTCCATTCAAGTAAGTCTTTTACACTTGGTACTTTTCTTTCTTCCTTCTTTCATACTCAAAGAATTTTACTAACTTCTGCTCTGCCCCTCTTCCTTCAAGCGATGCAGCACGCCCACTCCTTCTCAATGCAATCTTTTGAAATGAGGAAGGAGTTGGCCAACAAGATTAGGGAGGTCTCTGGTTTGCAGAAGATCCTCAAAAAGGCCGAGAGAAAAATGAAGACTTTGTCAGATCAGGCTGAGGAAGCCATTAAAGCCAAAGATAAGGTCGAGGAAAAAGCTGACGCTGCCGAGGCTATTGCCAAGGTCTTCACGGTTGAAAAGAAAGAGGCCGAGACCA